ACCCATCCATCCATCCATCCATCCAACCATCTAGCCATATATCTATCCATGTATCCATTCATCTACCCAACCATCTATCCACCTGCCCATCCATCCATCCACCCACCCACCCATTTATCCATCCATCTACCCGTTCATCCATTTACACAGCCATCCACCCACCCACCCACCCATTTATCCATTTATCTACCCATCCATCCACCCATCCATCTATCCACCCATCTGTCCATCCACACATCCATTTATCCACCCACCCATCCATCCATCCATGCAGTCATCCATTCACCCATCCATTCACTCATGGAAACTTCTGGGCCTCCTTCAGTGCCAGGCCGATGATAATCACTTGGGGCACATCAAGGATCAAGTTGCAGCCCTCACGCGGCTCGCATCCAATCTCAGTAGTAATGGAAGAATGGAACGAGAGCAGCAATGGCTCACCGAACAAGACCGCAGAGTTTTAAAAGACAAGAAGTGAGGTCCTAAATGAAGATACTCCCCGGGAGTCAGGTTTGGGGAGAGGCGTGAGTGATAGAAAAAGGCTTAGGAGACGCTCACAGGAATGCCGCCCACACACGCACACAGGTGGGCTCACCCACAGGAGCTGTCGGAGGCAACGGGAGGACAGGTTAACGACAGTGAGTCCGTAAGTCCGAGTACTTTCCACTCATCTCCTCTTTTTTGGAATCTTTCTACCCCAATTCCGTGTCTTACACAGGAGAGCAGTGGGCGGGGGAGGGTGAGCTCGGGCCGCGGGGACGGGAGAGCCAGGCAGAGACCTTCAGGTAGAACTGGTAGATGTCGGCGGCCACGCTCATCTCCAGCACGTTGTAGACGATGAGCTTACAGAACACGGCCAGCATGTTTCTCCGGTGGAACAGCTCGTGCAGCTCATCCGCGTCCTCCTCCTTGTAAACTCTGCTGGACCCTGCCGAGACAGTCGGACTCTGCCGTGTCTTCCTGTGGCCGCCTTGCCCTGGCGGAGCCGTGGGGCGGGCGGGGACATGGTCCCGGGGGGCTTGGGGTGCCAGCGTCGTCTCCGTGTACCGGTGCCAGGACGGCAGTGGCTCAGAACCCCCACTGGACATGCTGACGCCCAGAGCGCAGACCCAGGGCCACAGAGGACGCACTTAGTGTCATGGGGTCCCTGTGTTTCCAGGTCTTGACCGCTGGCCCGGGCTCCCCCGACTCTTCCGTGGCAGCGTGAACCAAGAAGACACGTGCCCGGGAAATGCAGCTCCAGACCCCGGCACGCTGGAGCGCCCGACGAGGGTCGTCCACCTCCCACCCGAAGCCTGCACAGGCCCTCCTGCCCCCGGGCTGCTCCAAATGTCCCCAACCCCCGAGGTCCCCCTGAGGTCCCCCCTACCGTTCTACTGCAGCCCCCCGCCCCCTCCCCCGGCCCTATCCTTACCGCCCAGACCACCTCCTGCCCCAGGCTGCCCCAGCTGTCCCCACTCCAGGTCTCTCCTCCGTCCCTGCCCCAAGTTCCCGGGAGGCTGACCTGCAGCTCCGGCCTCCTCCAGGAACACGTGCTCCTTGACAAAGGTGAGGAGCTTGCACTGCAGGACGTGGTCGGGGACGAAGAACAGCAGCCCCAGGCCCGTGTCCTCCTCAGGGCCCTGGTGGCTGAGGATGAGGAGCAGGTCACACAGCAGGATGAAGGCCTGAGGGGGGCGAGGGGCTGCGGGGTGAGGGGGCACCGACAGGGACAGGCGCTCACCCCCCAGGGACGGACCCCGTCTAGTGCCCCCGCAGCTGCCCAGGCCAACCCAGGGCTGGATGAGAGCCACAGGGTGGGGAGGGGCCCCCAAAGACAAGCGCCGCTGAACCCCAGGCAGCAAGTGGAACACCAGGGACAGACGACGCGTGGACAGACAGCACGCGGGCGACAGACGACCACGAACAACGCCTCACAGCAGCACACAACACACACGCTGAACGCAAACGTCCCCCACATCCGGGCGGCGCAGCGGCACGGACGGCGGCCGGGACCGGGGCCACACAGGCGGGAAACCACGGACCCGTGCTTGTGACCCGCGGTGGGGAGGGTCACAGGGCAGAGCTCAGCGGCTGGAAAAGGAGCCGCACACTCAAAACACACTCAACCTCCTCAGTCGGCCACGAGTCCGACGAGAGCGAGGTTTGATGTAAGGTAGCGGGACAGGAAATTCTGGAACTCTGGAAATTCACGCGCACATGGGAAGAACGCAGGAGCCCCGGCGCGGAAGGTGTCAGGAAGCGGGCGCCTGCGTCCAGCGTCAAGAAGCCCTCAGAACAGTCTCCCCGCACACAGGGGACGGCCCTGAAGGTTCCGTGTACGGCAACCTCCAGACACGGCGGTTGGGAGTTCACGCCCAGCGTGTCCACCACCGCGGCACGTGGACCGGATCACGGGAGCGACCCCCAGACGGGTGTGGTGGTTCGAACGGGCCGTGCACGCGGGCTCCTGTGTACCGGTGCCGTGCGCGTGGGCTCTGGGCTCCCGCGAACCGGGGCGTGCAAACAACTTCACAGACGTAAGGTGCTTGCGCGACGCGATGGTGGCCCCCCTCGGGCCTTCCCCTCATCGTTCAAGAACAAACGTCATCGCACGAGACACACACGGAGAGCAGGAACCGGCGTCGCGGAAAACCCGAATGCCCTGATGCGCTGCAGCCCACGTCCCGGGCGTGGCTAACGCCCCTCCTGCTCCGCCAGCCGTGGCAGCACCCGCGAGCTCGCAGAGGGACGCACGCACCTTCTCGCTCAGCACCTTGCTCTGGTGGTTCAGGTACACTCGGCACACCAGGCAGAACCTCAGCAGCCTCTTCCTCAAGTCCAGGAGCGCCTCCTGCCAGCGGACAGCCGGCGAGCAGGTGCCCCCGTCAGCGGAGCCCCAGCGCCAGCTCCACGTACCTGCCCGCCTCAGGCGAGCCGGCATGAGGTACATCCCCGCACAGATCAACCACCGTCCTCGCCCTCGCGTCCGCCTCCCCGCCTCCCCATCCCCCTCGTCATCCCCTCCCTCCCTCGTCTTTAGCCCCATGTCCCCCTTGCCCTCCCCCATCTTTACCCCATGTCCCCTCCCCACCCCCCTATGTCCCCCTCCCCGTATCTCCATCATCCCCCACACCGTAATCTCCCCACACGGGTCTAAACTTCCTCCCCAGGAACTCAGGCCTGCAGATTTCCAAGAAACCATAAATATAACCCCAAAGTGTGGCTGGCTCCAAACTAAGGGCCTGGCCAGCAGCCGAGGAAGGACAAGGGTCTCCCCCAGCGCACAGGAGCAGGTCCTCAGATCATCTGAGCCGCGCTCCCCACGGCGGGCGGGCAGGCTGGGTGGTGGTGTTGGCCACACCCCAAGTCAGCTCTCACGTCGGAGTCCAGGAGCGCAGGCGGACCCCGGGATGACAGACGCCAGCCGCTGGTGGGGCGGACGTCTGTCACAGTGGCAGTGCTGGCTCTATCCCACTCCATCTTTCCCTCCTCACAGACTACTGTGGACCACACGCCTGACCTCCTCCGCACCCCTCACCCACCTGGGGCGGCAGCCGGTCCGTGGCGGCGACAATCTGCCACAGGAGCGCATAGTAGGTGCACTGGAGGGCACAGTGGACAACCTGTGGGGCGCAGGGCCTGTCATGGAGTTGGGGATGTGGATGGGACACCCACCCTGGGGTCTCTCCTTAGCAGAGAACCCTGAGACCTCACCCAGTACCTGCCCCTCCCCCACTCAGGGCCTTTTCCCTGACGGGGACCCTTCTTTCCCTTCACGATCCTCTCCCCCTCCATCAGGACACTCCCCTGATCCCTTTCCCCTCAGAATCTGCCCCCCCACTCAGGACCCTACCGACCCCCAACTCCTGCGATCCTCCTCCCCCAGTATCTGTCCCCACCTCAGGACCCTACGGCCCCCCAAGACCCATCTCTCTCCAAGATCCTTCTCCACCAAGAATCTGCCCCACACCCCCCTGAAACCCTTCTCTCCCCTCAGGACCATTCCTCTCCTCAGGATCCTTCTCTCCACTAAGGACCCTCCACGCCCCCCCCCATGCCTCCCTCCCCTCAGGACCCTTCCCTCTCCTCAGGACCCTCCACGCCCCCCCTACGCCTCCCTCCCCTCAGGACCCTTCTCTCCCATCAGAACCCATCTCCCCATGCTTCGCTCCCCTCATGACATGTCTCTTCCCTCAGGACCCTCCGCCCATGCTGCCCTCCCTTCAGCACCCTCCGCCTCCATTCTTCCCTCCCCTCAGGACCCTTCTCTCCCATCAGAACTCATCCCCCCCATGCTTCCATCCCCTCTCCTCTCGAGACCCTCTCCTCGCCATGCTTCCCACCACTCAGGACCTTTCCCTCTCCTCAGGACCATCGTCCCCCGCCCCCATGCTTCCCTTTCCTCAGGACCTTCTCTTCCCTCAGGCCTGTCCCCTACCATGCTTCCTTTCCCTCAGAACCCTTCCTTTTCCTCAGGACCCACCATGCCTCCCACCCCTCATGACTCTTCTCTCTCTTCAGGACCCCATGCTTCCCTCCCCTCAGGATATATCTCCCCTCAGTGAACCATCCCATGCTTCTCTCCTCTCAGGACACACCCCCGCTATACTTCCCTCCCCTCATGACCCTTCTCTCCCCTCAGGCACTCCCCCTATGCTTCCCTCCCCTCAGGACACTTCTCTCCACTCAGGACCGCCCCCCCCATGCTTCCCTCCCCTCAAGACACTTCTCTCCACTCAGGACCGCCCCCCCCATGCTTCCCTCCCCTCAAGA